CCTTTATATTTTGAGACAAGATCTCACCAAATTGCCCAGGGTGTCCTAGAATTTTGACCTTCTTGACCTCTGTGCCTCAGCCTCTCCTGTCACTGGGGTTATAGCTGTGCACCACCAAGTCTTGCATCTTCCTTTTTTTTTTAGTCTTGGTAATTGGACCTAGGGCCTTGTAAATGGCAAATGCTAGATACTAGGTAAGTGTTCTACCTACTCCCAGCCGAATTGTACCCATTTTTAAGTAGAATCCTGTGGTTTTAAGCACATTAAGATAGTGGGCAGCCATCATGTCTCTCCAGAAACTTTTCATCATTCCAAACTGAAACTCTGCACTCATTAAACAATTATGCCCCATTTTACTTTGTGTTTATATTTTAATATGATTCTTATTGAGTATTATTACTTCCATTAATTTAGACTAAGGAGAGAATCAGAGAAATTTGAAAAAACACATAGATACCCTGGGTTTGGAATCACATGCTTATAATCCTGGCTACAAGGGAGGCTGAGGAAGGAGGATTGCAAGTTTGAGACCAGCCTGGGCAATTTAGAGAGTCCCTGTCTGGGGGGGGCGGGGGAGGAAATACAAAGGGCCAGGGATGTAGATCAGTGGAAGAGCACCGCTGGGTTTAATCCCAGGACCCTGCACCCCACACACATCAAATATTTACAAGGATGATCCTGGCCTAGCATGCTCAAGGCCCTCTGTTCAATCTCTACTATTGAGGGGGGAAAAAAGACAAAGTAAATACCTATCAGTAGGGAATTGGTTAAATAAATTATGCTAATCTATATAATGGAATATTCTAAGATCAGTAAAAATTATGTTGATCTGAAAACTCTATTTTATTTATTTATTTTTTTGGTACTGGGGATTGAAGTCAGGGGTGCTCAACCACTGAGCCACATTCCCAGCCCTATTTTGTATTTTATTAGAGACAGGTTCTCACTGAGTTGCTTAGTACCTCACTAAGTTGCTGAAGCTGGTTTCGAACTCGCAATCCTCCTGTCTCAGCCTCCTGAGCCACTGGGATTACAGGTGTGCACCCTACCCAGCTGCATACTCTATTATCAAGAAAATGTGTCCTTTATATTAATCAATTGAAAGAATAAAAGAAAAAGTAGGATGTCATGACCCTGTTACATAATAGTTTAGTTTTTTCATTTTCCAGTTTTTGGTACATTATACTTATATATATTGGTGAGATTTGTTGTTATATATTCATCCATGTACACAATATAACTTGGCCAATATCATTCCCCTTTCCCCTTCCTTCTTTCTCCCCCTGATCCCTTTCCTTGAAGCTACTGATCTCCCTTTGATTTTCATGAGATCCCCAATCTTTCTTTTCCTTTTTCCTCTCTAGCTTCCAAATATGAAACACTTGTTTTATTTAATTTCTAGAGAAAAATAAATACATATTCAAATGAGACAATGTCTTGCTTAACTTGAATGAGAAATATTGTCCCTTTGGTGTAGATGAGTGAAATTTCCAAATGTATTTTATGATCCCAGGTAGAATGTCTTACCTCTGTCTTCTGAATTACAATCAGAAATAATACATCTATTTCTGATGGAATATGATTAGGAATCATATCATATTGACTAAAAACACCTCTGTACCCCCCCACCTAATGCTGTATATGTTTAAGTGAATTATGATATTTTTTCATGATTGTAAATTCTACTGTCTTAAATAAATTTAGAATACTTTTTTCCCTGCAGGAGGTGGCAGCGCTCACCTATAATTCCAGTGACTGGAGGCTGAGACAGAAGGATCACAAATTCAGGTCAGCCTAGGCAACATAGGGAGACTGTCTCAAAAAAAAAAAGGCGTGGAAGATGGCAAGTGGCTGGGGATGTGGCTGAATAGTAGACAGCCTCTGGGTTTAATCCTCAGTGCCACAAAAACAAAAACAAAAACAAAAGAAAGAAAGGAAGAAAGAAACATAAACTTCCCTATGTTGGGTAGAGTAAACAGGAATATAATATCTCGTTTCACAATAAAATCTGCCTACAATGGGAAAAAATCCTGTCTCTAAAGAGGGAATGTAACAGTTTTCTTGAAAATGGATGAATACCTTTGTGTAACCTAAGAAATATATGCTTTTTCTCCCTTTTAATTTGAAGGAAAGACCAGAAAGGTATATGTAAGCCTGGGAAAGAGGAGTTTCTGGGATGAGGCGAGTTTTGGATTTTTGTGTTTGAATTCTTTTGGCACTAAGCCATTTTATTTTCTTTTCAGGGAATATCTTACCTGGCCCTTGGAAAATCTTTTCCTATTGGTTTAATAAACAATATTAGAATGACTACTTGGAAAAAATGTAGTTGGAATCCTTCCTCAGGCTAAACAACAAAATGAATTCCTGCTATATTAAAGAATACCGTGAAAATTAAAGAAATCACAATAAAATATAGGCACATAATTGTACTGGAAATAACATAGATGCCCATTAGTGAGGGGGTAGTTAAATAAGGAATGCTATATCTTCTGAGTATCATGAAATCATATAAACTATAAGTTTACTGATCTGGAAAGATGTGTTGAACCTTAAGCATCTTTGTAGGAAATTCAAGCTATGTCTATATACAGTATGTATAGGGTAGTTCTACTTTTATTTTTAATATGAATGTCTGTTCTATATTTATATGTGTATATATAATGGTAAAAAAAGTCTGAAAGGTATGTACCAACTCAATCCCTCCAGATTACTTCTGGAGGGATGGAAGTGGAGGAGACAAAGAAAGTAGTAGTAGTTTTATCACTAAATATAATATTTTTAAGAGTGGTAAAACTATTATTATTTCTGCTCAATATTTTCTAAAGAAAAAGGCTAAACTTTTAAAAGTAAAAAAATTTATAATGGGGTAAGGAAGACTTCTGAGTATAACATCAAAGGCAAAAAATCATACAAGGAATCATTTTAAACTTCTGCTCACAAGTGACAAGATTGTAAAAAGGATTGACAACACAGAACACTGTGATAGATGTTGTGGGTCAGTGCAGTCAACGTCCATTCCTCCATCCTGCTGTGTGTAGAGGGTATGTGTTTCTGAGACTCCCCTGAAGTTACGATTCGGAATGTAATTAGGTTCTGTCAATATTTAGAAGGCAGATTTGAAACAGGGCTCATCTTTTAGCTGCTGTTGCTATTACCAAACAAAATTATGAAGACTGACATGCTTAGAGACAGCTACACTGATACCCAGAGTTCCAGTGTCCAATCATCAGCCTTGAAGATGTTGACAGTTGTTGTAGGCTCAGGAAAAACATGCCATACAGAGAGCAAAACTGCAGAAAATAGAGCAAAAATGAAAGGAGCATAAGGGAGAATACACTGTTGAAAACAGCGTATAGAACAGAGTGGACAGAGATGAGAAAAAGACAATGAAATAGGGGCTGGGACTGTGGCTTAGTGATAGAGTGCTCACCTGGCCCGCGTGAGGCACTGGGTATGATCCTCAGCACCACGTAAAAATACAATAAAGGTATTGTGTCCATCTACAACTAAATATATATATATATCAATGAAATAAAAATCAGGAACTAAAGATTATACATAACTGGAATTCCTAAAGAGGATAACTGAAAACAATAAAGATAAAATTAAAAAAAAAAAACTATTTGAAATAAAAGATTTTTTTTTTTAAACCGGGGATTGAACCATTGAGCGATATCCCCAGAAATCCCCACCTTTTTTTTTTTTTAGTATCCGGTGATCCCGTCAGTTTTTTCTTTCTTTCTTTTAATTATCTGCTCTTTTTAGTTATATATGATGTAGAATGTATTTTTGACATCATACATACATGGAGTATAACTTCCCATTCTTGTGGTTGTACATGCTGTAGTCATTATTTACATATGAACATAGGAAAGCTATGTCCAATTCATTCCACTGTCTTTCTCATCCCAACCCTCCCTCCCTTCCCCGTTTTCCCCTGTCCAATCCGGTGAACCTTCTGTCTCAGCTTTCTGGGCCACTGAGATTATAAGCATGTGTCACCATACCCAGCCTGTTCAATTTATTTTTAACTTTAAAAAATTAACTTCTGAGCTAGGTGTGGTGGCACACATCTGTAATTCCAGCAACTTAGGTTGAGACAGAAGGATCCACAAGTTTAAGGCCAGGCTTATCAACTTTTGTGATAACCTGTCTCAAATCACAAAATAAAAAGGTCTGGGGTGTAACTCAGTGGTAGCTACTCCCTGGATTTAATTCCTAGCGGGGTGGGGGAGCAGGGGAGGGATTTGATTTAAATAAACTCCCATTTCAAAAAAATCTAGTGGAGAGACTGTGAACAAAGACCAACCTATATGTAATTGTGAACAAAAGACCAATCTAAAGAAGCTATACTCTATGTCTACAACAAAACTTAAAGTAAACAAGGTAACACATGTATACAGCTTTATCTTCCATATGCCGAACAAATAACACTGGATTTATTCAGCTGCATTAAATAGTTAATTGTATATAGTTTTAGCTATTTATATGGAATATTTAAAACTCCTAAAATCTATAGGTTATGAAATTCCCATAAAGATCTAGGTTCAACAATTAGGTCACACAGCTATCAATTCCACAAAATGCTTGAGTCTGTGTCACAGGCAGAATAGTTCTGTGTGTACATTGGAAAGGCTCGCCTGGGGGACTTTCTCACTACATTCAGGTTATGAGGAAGAACTACACTCCATGACGATAGTCACAGTCTATCTGATGCCACCATGTAAATGTGGTACTTTAGTGCTCCAGGTGGTCCCGCAATGAAACTCCTGGCCTGCAGCATGGAACAAACTGTTCTGTGCATTGACTTGGTCTGCTCTCTCCTGTTTAACTATTTGAGGGCTAGTCCCCATTCTGTAAGGACAATATTACTCAAATTAAAGTAAAAACTGAACTTTATTTCATAATAACTCTTCTTCAAATAAAGGAGCATAACTATGTTTTTATTCCTCATTCAGGTTTTAAAAAATTGATGGTAATAAGTAAAGACAAGATACAAATTAGTTTCCATTTTTTATTAAAATTGTTTTTTTTCTAAGGAATATATTACACTTAAAGTTCATTACTATAAATAAAGAATAATTTTCAAATCTTCTATTTTACTTATTAAAAGTGTAAACATAAAAGAAAATAATTCAACACTACCTCCCCTCCCCCCGACCCAATATACATTAAAAAAAAAATTCTTCTTTTCAGGAAAGTTCTCTCTTCAGAATGAAAACTATAGACTATCAAAATATGTTCATCCTCCTGGACTGCAAGGTCATGGCGGGAATGACCAGTGTCCATTGTGAAATAGGGCTGTGGGGCTGTGACTTAAGTCCGTCTCCTTCTTTGGGGATTGTCACTCAACTGCCCTCAGAGACAGATTCTTCTCTGTCCATCAGGTGTCCAAAGACATGGACAGCAGTAAGGCATTGAGCAAAGACTCTGTGATGAGCACAACATGAAGGCTGCACACTCCAGGAGGTGGATCAGAGCCAGTGGTGACAAGCAATGTGGCTGAGAATTAGTCATAGAATATTACAGCTGGAAGGATTCTGAGAAATCATCTAGTTGTTTTTTAGATGGCCTCAAACAGTAAGTCTTCTCACACTGAAAAGCACATCAATAAAATTTTATGGAATACTCTGATAATATCTATTTATGTATCTTCCTAAAACTATTTAAACATCGAAAAATTAGGTTTCAACTTTAAATATTGATAAACTAAGCCAAAATACACTGAAAACTTATGTTAACCATATTTTAACATTTTTAGAATATCCATTTGGTCTTAACAAAAATAAATATCTTATAGGAAAAAGGTAAGGTTTGCCGATTTTAAGAAAAAAGCAAGGAAAAAGAATGTTTTCTGAGAAAATACCAGAGAGAACTACATTATGACTACCTAACTGCTTGCCAGTTTCTTTAAAGCTGTCAGCTCAAGGCTACTGACATGGCTTTTATTTCCTTCCTGTAAATTCTGGTCTTCAAAACCTGAGACAAATTCTTATGATATTTTTGATAACTGGGACCTTAAAACAAACAAAATGAATCTAAGTTTGAACTGAAAACCGAGGTAGTCAGTTTTTATAAGCACTTGACCTTTTTTGAATTGGGAGGGGACTCTAGTTCATTGTCCCCAAATTAGCAGCTCTGCATTCTTCTTCCCTGCTCCACTTAACTTTTACCCCAGCTGCAGCCCACTCCTAACCACCACAGAATACCAGCATGTATGCAATTTCAAATTCTTCAGTTCACAGCTGAATTTTAGACTAATATTTCTGCATTGTCTCAGATTTTAAAAGTTTTTGCTTCAAAATTGTCATATTCTAAGAGACTAAAATATGTCTCTTAAAATTTCTTACAGGTTTAGTGTCCTTCTAAGTCTTGCTGAGTATACTATGCAGAATCAGTTATAAACAACCTTGATTAAGCTTTACTGAAGAGAAAGGGAGACATCAATGCAGTCAGTTACCTTCAGGAACTCACAATTTCTTAATCTCATACTCCATCACATTTCATGTTTGTGCAGAGAAAACACTGGGTCACCAGATTCCAAGCTTAATAAATATATATACAAAAAATGTCATCCATAATATTTTCTTCATAAAGTCATCAGTGCAAATATAATTATATCAAAAAATAAAGCAAAAATATATTTCAAGTATAAAAAGCACCATGCTTGGAAACAATACTACCTAATGGCATTACTGCACAACAGTCAAAATATAGTCAAACCTAGCACTGTGAATCTCAAATATATTATTAATCCATTTGATTTTTTGGTGAAGTTCTTTATACAACTTTGTGGGGTGATACATAATAATAATAAGTATGTAAGTTTAGATAATTATACATTTATTTAAAAATATACTCTACTTTTCTCTCACCTTGCATAATTTAATAGATGTATAATACTGAGTGTTGTCCAGCAGACCACTCTTTCTCTTAAACTGAAATTAACTATGTTTGGGGCCCCAGCTTTCACAATGACAAATACCACAAATACCTCTAATTTATATCTCATGCAAACATATACTTTAGATTTATGTATTTTAAAAAAGTAACTTTACGTGGGACTGCCAAAACAGCAGTTATGCTGCTTTGCTCATTTAGCACAATTTCTAAACAAGCTTCCTTCAAGGGTTGAATTTTTAATGCTACAGAACTTATTAGCTTTAGAGAGAAAAACTGGGCATCGCCTGTCATTAAAGAAATTTCAAAGAGGAATCGCTAAATGGGGTTGGTGCTCTGGTACCACAGTAGAATTATTTCACAAAATCTATGTGGTAAGAGAGTTATCAAAAGCAGGAGGTAAAAGATACAAATTTCATCTTATGCATAAAAAATTTTTCAGGTATTCTAAATTCTTCCTGAACAATTTTAGTCCACTGAAAATAATAACCACATACATGTTTATAACACAATTTCTTTTCATCTACATTGTTCAAAAGGGATAAAATAAATGGTTTTGCTTCATTGGATTACAGTTGTCATAACTAATACCTGAAAAATGTACAACAATTTTTTCTTCTGGTTGCACATCTTCAACGTTTTTGCAGGGCAGTGTGTTTTACTCTCTGCTTCCACATTTTTTGGAGTCATTATTAAGTTAATGGACAATGAAATGGAAGCTGAGCACTGAAGATCGGTGAGTAGACAGGGTTAACGATACACTGATAACAGTTCAGTAGTAGACTGCTACACAGCTGGCAAAAAAGGCAAGCGGAATGAAATCACAAGACTTAGTAAAACAGTTTAAAACTCTTCAGGACAAACAATGAGAACAATGATACAAATGTACTATGGACAAGTGGGGCATGATGGCACAAGCCTCTATCCCAGATACATGGGAAGTTGAGGCAGGAAGATTGCCAGCAAAAAGCCAGCCTGGGCCACATACTAAGACCCTGTCTTGAAACCAAAACCAAATCAAACTAAACTAAGCCCAAATAAAAGTGTACTATACGTACAGCCATCAAATTTAAAATAAGTGTAATAGTGATGTAGAAATTTTAATTCATTATTTTCTGTAAATTAAAGGGCAACTGATACTTCTGAGGGCAAGATCCACAACTTACAATTTTGTAATAATTGGCTATTATTTGTTTGTTACTGTGGTGTCCATGATGAACTTGCTTATCATTTTAGGTTAATGAAAATGCTGAGGTATGTAATCACTCTGGGAATTTCACCAATTATCCTGTTTTCAAAAGAAAACTTCAGGGAGATTATGTATCTTGAAGTATAAGATGTGGTGACTTGTAATTCCTTCTCCTTCTCCAATCTTTGAGGTGGCTGGGTAGTTGATGAGGAGCGACTGCTGTGAAGTTTTGCTTCAAGGTCCATTGTAGTCAACAGGCCCAAGCCAAAGTGCCACTTCTACCATTGCACAGGTTCACGCTTGCCCAGATTTTGTGCTTTGTTCACAGGAATATGAGATAAAGGAGTTGAGAATTCACTTTTCTTTAAATTTCACTTTTCCATTCTTAGTGCCATACACAGAGAAGAAATCCAGCCAGCAGAGGAAACAGATTGCCTAGCAGAAGCCAGAGGGTGACCACCAGGCTGGAGGAGCAGGAACAGAGATCTAGAGTTGAAAACAAGAAATTAACTTTCCATAACCATTTTTGTGATTAAATCATACCAATTAAATATTGACAGATGCGTAGAGGTGAATAAGAACCATCTTAGCAGAATAGAGTGACATCCTGGCCAGGAATGGTGGTGCACACCTGAAATTCCAGCAGCTCAGGAGGCTGAGGCAGGAGGATCGCAAGTTCAAAGTTAGCTTCAGAACTTAGTGAGTCCCTGAGCAACTTAGCATGACCCTGTCTCAAAATAAAAAATAAAAAGTGCTGGGAATGTGGCTCAGTGGTTAAATGCTCCTGGTTTCAATTCCTAGTACTAATAAAATAAACAAAAATTTAAAAATTTTTAAAAAGAGTGACTTCCTGAAACCCCAATACACAGTTATTGTTTTTTAATATTATAAAAGAATAGAATATACACACAAAGGAAGAAAAGATATCTACCAAGTCAAGGTAATAATAAAATGGCACCCATGAAAAGAAAGAAGTGTCTTAGGGTGGTAACCAGCAAAGGTAAAGATGGTACGTGAACTTGGTTATTCTGTGATGGATGAAGAACTTTCTCTCCTTTTTTTTTTTTTTTTAGTACTGGGGATTGAATCCAGGAGTGCTCTATCACTGAGCTACCTCCTCAACCCTTTTTATTTTTAAGACAGTTCTCAAGTTGCCAAGGCTGACCCTGAACTTGCAATCCTCTTGCCTTAGCCTTCTGAGTTGTTGGGATTACAGAGATATGCTGCTGTGCTGAGAAAGAACTCTTTTCTTTTATCCTTACTTGTCCCTTATAAGTAGGGTGACCATATAATTTATTATTCCAAACCAGTACAGTTCAAGAATAGAAGACAGCACTGTTAATAATTACACCAGGAGGGGAGACATGAGGCCTACCCAGTCAAACTAAGACAGATGGTCCCCAATTTCTAGAAATCTACCCATTCATCCATATCATGCAAGGTTTGATGTGGAAAAAGCAGACGATGGGCTTTGGGCACTAGGAATATATTTTAAATTATTCATGAACTGTTCTCAAGGCTAAAATGTTTCCCTAAATAATTCTCATAATCAAAATATTTTTATTGCAGTTGAGACAAGGCCAACCTAACCTTAATTTATGATGAGTTTTTATTTTTATATTTTGAACAATAAAGATCTTATATGGGAATTTTGAAGTTGTCATCAGAATGTCCACAATTCAAGTAGAGATAAAAGAAGTGTGAATTATAGAACTCGAAGAATTGTGGGCTGATAGGATAACTGTGAGTCAAGCATCAGTTTTTTTAAAAAGTTCTCTTGTAGGTAAATCTTGACTCAAGTCAAGAAATGGACAGTGGAAAAAATCACAATGTGAAATTACTTAAATAAATACTTACTGATTTTGAAAATATTCTGAACATTATAAGATGGGTCTTTAAAGAACCACTAAGGTTCAAGTCTAAATTGCTTAAAAGGTAACAAAAATAGAGTGGATCTTCAGTTACAGATGAGCAGAATGATAATTATCAAGGCATGAGACCACTCTTTGAGCATCTATTTTAGTGTTGAGTATCATTTTAAAAATTGTCTCATGGCATGTTACGTAGGCAACCTATGGGAAATTTCCATTCTTTCCCAATGGAATCACCATGTAATTGTTACAAATGTAATTGTATACAAATCCTATGAGAAGTCCACTTAATAGAAAATAGTGCTTCTCAAAGTATGGTCCCTAGACCAATATCAGCATCACCTAGGACCTTATTAAAAATGCAAATTATTCGTGTTTTAACATGGTTCTGATGCATGCTAAAGTTTGAGAACCTCTGACCTAGAGCTGTAAATGTCCACTATAGTAGTAGCCAGTACTTATATGTGCTATTAAAGTTAAATTAAAATCTTAGAGCTTGCTTGTACAGTTCAATGGTAGAGGACTTGTCCAGCATGCATGAGGCTTTGGGTTCAATCTCCAGCACTGAACAATAAACAAACAAACAAATAAATAAATATTTAGTTCTGGTCATAGTATCCACATTGCACATGTTCAATAGTCACTTGTGGCCAATGACTATTATATTATTGAATTGGACAATGTGAATTACAGAATATTTCCGTTAACACAAATGTTCTGTTAGAAAAATTTCTGGCCTACTGCATCAGGTAGTGGTGGAGTTAGCTGGAGTTACTTATAACACAGGTCTTTATCTCCTGATTTCGTAATCAATAATGGAAACTGTCTTGAGCAATAAAGAACAATTATTTAATTGCTTCAAGCATTTAGAAGTAATGAGTATGGAAAAGGAAGGAGAAAAGAAGATAAGTTTAACATTCTTTTTTTTTTTAGTTGTTGATGGACCTTTATTTCATTTACTTACTTATATGTGGTGCTAAGAATTGAACCCAGTGCCTTACACATGCTAGGCAAGTGCTCTACCACTGAGCCACAACCCCAAGTTTAACATTCTTAAAAGACACTGCAACTGTAAGGAAGCTATGTGAACAAATCATTTGAGAAAAACAACATCGACAAAAATCAGAAGAATTTGGGGAGAGAAATATCATTACACTTCCTCCAGAATATCAGCAGTTTTAATGTTTTAAAGTCACGCTTAAAAAAATACTTTAATTCAGAAGACAGATTAGGGATGATTGTTTAATAATTATTAATATTATTCATACAAGTACATTTCAAGTGTCAACATTTTTACAATTTGTTGGTCAATAAAAACTGTATTAAAGAGAAACAATCTACCTAAAAGAAATAGCATATGTAAAGTCTGTCCAGGTCCTTAGTTCATAGTTTAACATGTTCAGTTAAAGCTCTGTGTGTGCTCTATTCACATGTATTAGCATACATGGGAGGATGTGTTATTCTACAATTTCAACAGTGATGCTTACAAACTATAAAAGTAATGCTTGAAATTATCCATTCTTATAATATTTTTGCACATTTTTCAATATCAGTGTTAGTAATTTGAAGTTTACAATGTTTTTGAGCCTGCCTCCTATTGAACTGGCAAGTTAACATGAAAAGAAATAAGACCACAACACAAAGGCCTCAGAAAAAGGACTGATAAAGAGGGAAGCAGGATAAAAAGTAGAGTGTAAAGTGCCAGCTGGTTGGAGTAGAGTGTAAAGTGCCATGATCAAGTGCTGCCCACCTCTTTTCAACAGACTCCCTAGTCTTTGTCATGCTCCTAGGTGGGAACTTTTCAAAGGCCCTTGACTGGGTCTGGCTTTCTCCTCATTCCTACACATTCTTCTCCTGGATTCCAAAGAATTTTACCCCTAGCCAGCTGGAGTTAATGCTCCCTTTATTTCAACTCAAAGGCTAGTGGTCTGAATCCTTGCTTGTCTCTTTGACAATGAGATGGTGATAGTTTCTTACAATTAAATCTGGGATTAGGTCTGAGAATGAGAACTCATCAGAACTATCTATTTATGGATTTTAGCCAAAGTAATTTAATAACAACTGTAAGAAAACTAAGTCTTCCAATCATCTCCACATCAAAAGTTAATTGAGCGGATTTATTACTATATTTACTGTATATTACATCAAAAGGTGTAAGGCTTTATAGAATTTCAAATAATTAATTGTGTGATTACTATTAGAACTGCAGAAAATTCAGCTAACTAAAATACTGTGAAAAAAAAAGAGTTTGAACCTGGCAGGCTTAGAAATTCTGTCTGCAAAGACAGTCCTTAGCTACTGTCTTAGAACTGCTGTCTTCTGGACTTCATCCTATGCACATTTTCCCTTTGCTAATTTTGTTTTGCATCCTTTTGCTTTAACAAGGCTAAGCCTTAAGTATGTCAAGTCCTGTGAGTCCTTCTATTGAGCCAACAGAACTAAAGGTGATCTTGAAGACCCTCAACGTAAGTACTAATCTCCCCAAACTCACCTCCTGCTAAAGCCCCTAGGACTTGGAAAAGAAAGGAAGTTTCCTAGAGGTGGAAAAACTTTCACGTGTAAACTGAATGTAGCCCTGTATTTTCAACCAGAGCACAGAAGAGACAAAGGGTTGTGAGTGCAGTTTCATTTTTAAAAATAACTGTAGTTAAGAAAATAAAACACTGCATGAGATTTTTGTTGTTCATATTCTAAAATGCTGTGCTGCCATAGATTTACTCACAGTTCATTTAAGCCACAATTTTAATTGAGAATTCATGAATTCTGTTCTTACAATCTTAGTGATGGGTTGTGAGCCTCAGTATGAACAATTGATAATGAGAAAGGCATTCTTCTCAAGTCAGATTTTTCAATCCTCCTTCTAGCTCTAAAGAACTGTCTCCTTACTACTTTAGAGTTCTATAATGGCAGGAAGAAGGATTTCGCTACAAGCTGCAACCAGGAGAGAAGCAACTCAACTTGCTCCAGGCTCTTATAAAGGTAATTTCAACACTGTGTAGGAAAAGTCCCCTCATTACTTTCCCTCTTAGTTCCAACCACAAAGAGTACTCACCCAGTGGAAGAGCTCGGGTCAGGTTAGCCACTGGGGGATCTGTCTCTGGAGGACACTGCTCACAGAAATCCCAGCATGATGGACAGAGCAGGTTTCCCTCATGAATCCAACCATTCATCTGAATACTGACAGGGAGGACCTGTCCAGCCCGGCTGCATAAATATGAAGTATCTTGGACCCAAACCATTAGACCTTGAAGAGAACAAGAAATCTTCCAATAGGGAGGAAAAAAAAAAAATCACATCAGTAAGATTCTAGGATATGAGATTTCTCCTTCAATTGCAGAAAATATACTAAAATTCACTAGAAATATTGGCTATAAAGCACAATTTGGCATTGAGCATACTTATATATATATATATATATATATATATATATATTTTTTTTTTTTAACTGTAGTTGAACACAGTTTTATTTATTTATTTTTATGTGGTGCTGAGTATTGAACCCAGGGTCTCGCCCATGCTAGACGAGCGCTCTACCACTGAGCCACAACCCCAGCTCCCCCAGCATACTTTTAACTCATAGTTTCTAAAAGATTTTCACTCTAGTAGTGTGTGTGTGTGTGTGTGTGTGTGTGTGTATGTGTGTATGTATGTAAATATATATATATATATTTAGTTGTTGATGGATCTTTATTTTATTTGCTTATTTATTTGTGGTGCTGGGAATTGAACCCAATGCCTCACAAGCACAAAGCAAACGCTCTACCCCTGAGCCACAACCTCAGCCCCTGTGGTGGTATTTCTTAAACTCTCAGTTCAGCAACTGGAATTCACAGACCCTGAAGCCAACTTATAAAGAATAATATTTCTATATTTTTCAGCATCCTTCAGCCTAAATCTCTGTGAAATAGCCATCAATCATTTCACCTCTCTCCACAAGTCAGGAGATTTTGTAAGTCAAATTTTATCAGTTATCTAAATCATTAAAATAATATATATTCACTGTAAAGAAAAAAAGCATAGAATATAGAAATGTACATAGGGAAAGTTCTTCATTCTTTCTTCCTACCCCAGATCTTCTGCTCAGAGATACAAATTCATGGTGATTTTATCCAGATTGGTAACATCTTTTTTTTTTTTTTTTTAAGGTACTAGGGATTGATTCCCAGGGAGCTTTACTACTGAGCTACTCCCCAGCCCTTTTTAAGTTTTTATTTTGAGACAGGGTCTTGCTGAGTTGATGATGATGCTGGCTTTGAATTTCCTGCCTCAGCCTCATGAGTAGCTGGGATTACAGGTATGTGCCACTGTATCTAGCTAGACTAGTAACATCTTGAAAGGCAAGATTCAAATCTCAACTGCAGGGGTCACTAATGTTTTTTAACAAACACATTAAAGACAACTTTCAAAACATTTAAAAATCACTGTGTCTTCTTCAAAGTCGTTTCCTACAAAGACTTCATGTTAATTTCAAATATGCTACTTCACACTGAATATTTCTGGAACTTCTTTCTTGGAACTACCTTCAATGTCAGTGAATGCTTCTGAATGTGTCTGAGGGCAACAAATTTTTACTTGCCAAAGTAGATGCAATTTATGGAAATAGCCCAAAGCTGCCCAGAACCAAGTCTGATAAATGTAGCTGTCTAAACTATTTAACATAAGATTTAACATAGGGGTAATAGAAAACATTAAAGTTTATTTTCTTAGTTATTAAACTACTTCAAATGGCAATTTCAAAAGAAGAATTACAAAAGTACATTTGAACAATGAGTCATTTAAAAAATAACTCTATCATTAGTGAAGTTGAAATATAAGACTAATTTGGAAATTTGTTACAATAAGTACAAAAAACAAACTACAAAGTGACCTTTTCCCTAAGTCTGTCACTCAATAGTGCAAAGTAATCATTATTTTAAGCAAGAATTGATTGAGCATTATGCTTGGTGCTGAAAAGAATACCAAAGAAGTCCATGATACAGTGTCAGCCTTCTTGAACCTTTAACTAAGATAAAAGACATAACATATAACTTTTTCCTTAAAAAAAGACTATGAAGGGCTGGGGTTGTGGCTCAGCTGTAGAGTGCTCGCCTGGCATGTGCAAGGTGCTGGGTTCGATCCTCAGCACCATATTAAAAAAAAAAAATAAGTACATAAAATAAAGATTTTTTTAAAAAAGACTATGATTAAGAATTGAAAATCGGGCTGGGGATGTGGCTCAAGCGGTAGCGCGCTCGCCTGGCATGCGTGCGGCCCGGGTTCGATCCTCAACACCACATACAAACAAAGATGTTGTGTCCGCCAATAACTAAAAGAAATAAATATTAAAAAATTCTCTCTCTGTCTCTCCATCTCTCTCTCTCTTTAAAAAAAAAAAAGAATTGAAAATGGTAAAAACAATAGCAACAAATATTAGAAATTTTCATGTTAAAATAGCATTTATACCCTAAGATGGACATGGGATTCATTCATTTGTTTGTTTTAGTACTGGGAATTGAACCCGGGGTGCTTTACCACTGAGCTACATCCCCAGTCCTTTTTATTTATTTATTTAAAAAATTTGAGACAGGGTCTTGCTAAGTTGCGGAGGCTGGCCTTGAACTTGAGGTACTCCTGTCTCAGCCTCCATAGTCACTGGGATCACAAGTGTGTACCACTACACCCAGCAAGCATTTGGAGCAGAGTAAGGTACATATAGACGTTACAGTTTGGGAAGAAGAAGAGAATTAGATGAGTGTTGATGGGAAAACTCCCTTGATGAAGCTAATTCTGGGAATTAAGTGTTGGCAGACAAAGTAGATGTACAAGAAGTAGAAGACTTAATAGACTCAAGCAAGCTGAATCAAAATCCAGCAGCAAGGAAACCCAAGAAGCAACATGATGGAATTTGAAGAATACAGGAAGGCCTGGAATTGCTGGCACCAGAAATCAAGAAGTATAGGCTACAGATAGAGAGATTAAAGTTTATTTTATTAAGAGTTAGGTCTATTTCTGGTGTTCTTAAACAGCCTGTATATATTGAAGAACAACTGAAAAGCAATTTGGAAACTCTGAGTATGTACATAAGGCCTGTTGACCACTATCTTCACTACAATTTTAACTCTTTAAAAAATAAAGAGTTAAAAAAAAGAATTTACCAGCTTCCAGAGGGGAAAGAAAAAAAGATTATATACATTAAAAAAAAATCACAGTGATATTGAGAGCCAAAATGCAAAGGAAAAATTCCTTCAGAATTATGATGGACAATGATTTTCAAAAAGAAAACTATACCCAAACTACTGAAGAATAGTAGAATATGCCACCGCCAAATATGCCATTTTGGCATAACAATTATTTAGAGCTAAAGGCACTTGAAAAACAGCAGAACAAGGAAAATGTTCTGACTCTCCCTCTCTTCTTGAAAGATGTCCTCCCTGGGACTGGGGTTGTGGCTCAGGCATAGCGTGCTTGCCTAGCATGCGTGAGGCACTGGGTTCGAATAAAGGTCCATCAACAACTAAAAAATATTAAAAAAAAAAAAAAAAAAAAAAAGATGTCTTCCTTATTCCAGGATAAAAGAAACATCACTGGAGCAAATTTTAGTACAAACAGATGCTGTTAAAATAATTCTCATCTTCCTTTAGCCTCCCCATATCTTTTACTTATTTTTCCATAATTGCTTCCCTTTGTTTAACCTAGTAAAAAAGCATCTAGATTTTACCACTTCTTTCATATGAAACTTTTATTAAATAAAAACATATGTTTTACTCCTGGAAATGTACCTTTTGCCAACTTAATCCTTAGGCCCAGCTTGAGTCTTGCCTTCCCTACACTATCATCAAGTATAAGGGCAGGATAGTGATACTTTCATATGCTAGAGGTCTCAAAATTCTCCTCTCCCAGATACTCCTCAAAAATCCACCAGGGGATATGATCCATTAAAATGAAGGGAAAAAAAAAAAAAAAAAACCTAGAAGTAAGGGAACCAATATAAGAAAGGGACAGAGGCATCTCCAGGATGATCTTGACTGGAGAAGGAAAGGGACAGTTATGTTATAAATTTAAAGGTTATCTTCATCCAGATTAGTGTAGATTAGAAATTTCCAGAGGTGATTTTCGTAAGATTAAACTGATAGAATACCTAAAGTATCTGATTATATGAAACTAGATGAGTCCAAGGAAAAAAGTTTGGAATTAAATTAGTGTTAAATAAAGAAAAACTGAATGAGAAAACAAGATATTAGTTATTAAATCCAGAGGGAAAATTTTGGGGGGAGAATTAGAGAAGTAATCATTGTAAAACACATGGCTTCACATTTACATAGTCATCTTAAGGTAAATATAATGAAAATATACCTATCCAAAATTACTACCGAGAAGATGGAGAACTAGGAAGCGAATGTAATATGAAGAAAAGGTGAAAGAGCTAAATACTACCAAATGGGCAGAGTGAGGAAAAGAAATAAGCTGTATTATTGTTATGTAGAAGGTGGTCCTTGTTTATAAGAAATATGAATTAAAGTATTTAGGAGTGAAAGTATTTAGCAGGTAGCATGCCTGCAATTTGCATGAAATGACCCAGAAAAAAATTTTTTGAGCCATTCTGAGAGTTTTTCAATCAAAATAAATAAAAACAACAATCATGAAACCAATAAACAAAAATGCCCCAAAGCCCCCCAACACAAAAGAGCTAATCAAACTGTTAATCATTAAGAAATCAAACACATTTTCCACATAAATAGTACTAGTATTAGAAAAAATAACTGACAATATTTTGGTACAGTGAAAGTAGAGCCAATCTTTGCAGATGGCATGGTAAGTCTATATAATCCCTTCATAGTGGCTGAGATTTATAAAACATTAAAAGAGCTTAAAAAGGTCACCTTCCTATTATACTTGTCACTGTTCTTGCTTTGTCTCCTTCAATATTCTCACTTATGGGAATTTATTTAAAAATGTAAATATATTTATAAAAGCATTTTTATATGGTGAAAATGGAAATAAATTTAATATGTACGAGAGTAACTTTCCTAATTATAATACTTTAAAATGATGCCGTGGTTCTGTAGCCATAAACAACAATAAACATTATTTTTTTTTAAAGAGAGAGAGAGAGAGAGAGGGAGAGGGGGAGAGAGAGAGAGAGAGAGAGAGAGAGAGAGAGAGAGAGAGAGAG